TAGATAGATAGATAGATAGATAGATAGATAGATAGATAGATAGATAGTAGAGGAATTTAAACACATGGTTGCTCTGGCAAGGGGTCCAATCCAAAGAACTTTTAGGGTGTGTGATCTGGCTGGAATGACAAAACTTTAATCCCTCTTGCTAGAATACTAACAACGGAGGCAATCAAGTTTGAAAATAATCTCTAATTGAAGGTCAAACAAAATAATGAGTCAGAGAAAGATTTGACAGAATGAGTCAGAGGAAAGTTACACCCAATTCTTATAAGAACAGACAAGAAAGAGTGGTAACTTTAGAGCCTAAGAGAGCAGTGGACACACAGATACACACACACATACACAGAGACAGAGAGAGAGAGAGAGAGAGAGAGAGAGAGAGAGAGAGAGAGAGAGGAGGGGACAAGCAGCGGTAAGATTAGAACATATTGCCATAGTTAGCATGAGGCCAAGCAAAGTAATTTAGTCAGAGCTGTTTTCAGTCAGTCAATCAGAGAGGAGCTTGGGCCGGAACAGGTGAGTTGAACCAGCCAGCTAGAGTTTAGAATGAGGTAGAAAGGGTGAGTATATTCAACAGTAAGCCTGCAAGATGACAATTACATCTGGCAAATAAAACTTATGTTTATAATAAATGGCCTTGTTGCAAGTCTCTAAGTTGAGTTCCCAGAACCACAATAGTAATAAGGTGATCAGGACAAAAGTGTTCATTAAACATTCATGGACCTGCACTTAATTCGACAAGCACACCTCTGTTTTTTTGTTTGTTTGTTTGTTTGTTTGTTTTGGTTTTGGTTTTTCAAGACAGAGTTTCTCTGTGTATCCCTGGCTGTCCTGAAACTCACTCTGTAGACCAGGCTGGCCTCAAACACAGAATTCTGCCTGCCTCTACCTCCCAAGTGCTGGGATTAAAGGTATGCTCCACCATTGCCAGGCAAGCACACCTCTGTGAAAACAAAGTGATTTGGTTCAAGGAGGTGAGAATGCTGTCTGCCATACTGTCCAACCCAGCTGTGTTAGGGGTCACTGTGATTAGCTTTGTTTCCCAGGTATGTTGCAGTCACTAAGAAAGTTTGCTTACAGAACAGGCTCCCAGATGCCCATGGTGCTCTCTGGAGTTCATGCAAATCACAAACCCTAGAATCACAATTGTCTCCCCAGAGGGAAAGACTTCCTGACTGAAAAAACTATCTTAGACTGCCTTTTAATATTACTATGAGTATTATTGTTGTGCTTGTGGGTGGTGGTGGTGGTGGTTTTTTGACACAGTGTCTCACTATGTAGTTTTAGCTGTCCTCAAATTCAGTATGTAGACCAGGCTCACCTTGCACTAACAGAGATCTGCCTCCCTTTGCCTACCGAGCGCTGGGATTAAAGGTATGAGCCACCATTCCCTGCTCAATTATTAATTTAAATTTTAATTACAATATAATTACATCCTTTCTCTCTCTTCCCTTTCCTCCCTCCAATGCTACTCTTGTCTCCCCATTTACCCCCACTCAAATTGATGGCCTCTTTAATTGATTATTGTAGTTATTATATATGTAAACACATGAATATATAAATACAACGTGCTGTGTCCATTTTGTTGCTTATATGTACATGGTTTCAGGGCTGGTCACTTAGTATTGAAAAACAGAAGGCTCCTGTCTGAGGAAGACTAAGTCTCCCTTTCAGTAGCCCTTAGTTGCCTCTAATTACTTTTCTAGGGGTGGGGCCCCCTGAGATTTCCTGGTTCCACCTTAGCATATCTACTGGTGCCTTTCAAAACCATTTTTTCCTGCGTGTTCTCACGGGAACCCAGTGCCAGGGAACTAGCCACTATAGAAGCAATCTGGGCACCTGGAGTGCAGAGAAAAGCACAGGCAGGACCTGGGAGGAAAGTTTGGGAATGAATGGGTAAAAGCTCTAAGGGGCGGAGTGAAGAGCTCTGTGCACGTGATCGGGGTGCTCCTGCTCTCGGGTTCCAGCAGTTGGGAAACTATGCTAAGAAGCACTGGCACGCAAAGGAGTGCCTGAGAGAGCCCAGCTACAGGAAGGGAAACGGGAAGGGCACAGGGGAGTGGACAGGAAGGAATCAGGAGGGACTAATGAGAGGACCGGTTTAGTAGGGTGCTCTTGTTGTTAGGACCCGGGACTCGCCGCAGCTCAGACCTTCATTCCTCAGAAGAACCAGCTGCAGTCCTAGCTATGCTCGCTGCTGTGGGCTCCCTGATAGCCACGATCTGGGCAGCGCTCCATCCCAGGACTCTGCTAGTAGCTGCAGTCACCTTCCTGCTCCTGGCTGACTACTTCAAAAACCGGCGCCCCAAGAACTATCCCCCGGGGCCTTGGGGTCTGCCGTTCGTGGGCAACATATTCCAGTTGGACTTTGGGCAGCCGCACCTCTCAATCCAGTCGGTAGGAAGGGGTTAGGGTGCCTGGCTTTATCTGTCCTAACTTAATCCTGAGCTACAGGAACAGGGGATTTACTGATGCTAGAACAGAAGACCAGGATCAAAGGCCGGTGATGGGAACCTGCTGTCCAGAACTAAAAACCTGTGTCCTTTTTTTTTTTTTTAAAAGAAATACGCTGTTCTATTTTCAAATAATAGGAGATTTTCTCACCCTTGTATGAAGGGCTTTGCTTCCGTTGTAATTCTGTTATGGGTAGAGAACTCCCTGTATGTGATTTTAAGTCTTTAAGCCATGTTGTATTAAAGGGGTGATAATAAATCTAGATAAATAAGTCCTTTCAATTTCAGAAATGGGTAGAAAGGTGCCTCAGCTTAGTTTGTTAAAGTGCTTTTAGAGAAAACAAAGTGTGTTTTTCTCTTGACAGGACTTTTCTACAAATAACAATTTTCTTATTGATCTTGTTTGTCCTTTTAGTCCTTGCTGACTCTTCACCTACTAACTTTACCAATCCGGGGGAAAGGTACATTGTTGTCTCCAGGTCCACTGGAAGTCTGTCTGTTTTTCCACTCAGTTCTAGAAACTCTGCCCCTTGTGTTGGAAAGACCATACTGTGTACATAGTATGCATGAAAGACTGAGAGGTCTCTTTGGTGTGTGACCGTCCTCCCACGTAATATTTCTCGTTATCTATAGTTATTTTCTCTGCTTAGATAGTGAATACTCGAGCCATGTTGGATCGTCCCTGTCACTTTCCAGGACTAGTGAAGTCTGACTCTCTCTGATTATGTGTTGCTATTTAAGGGCATATACCCATATTGTTTTTCTTATTTTCTTTAACCTACCTCCCCCCCCTTTTCCCTTCCCTGTGTGTTTCTTGGACACCTTTCAAGTAGTTGCCTTTTATTCCTGTTCAGTCTTTCTTACATCTGTTTTCATCCTTCCAACCACTGCTCTGTGCTATGCAATAGGCACATGTAGCTCATGAGATTTGCTATTACCATTTCCCACAGAAAACAAAGTGGCTACAAGCATAGCGGACCCCTGTCTCCCCTCTATGGTAGAGTTGTCTCAGGAGGAGTCTCCACACACACTGAGGAGCACATCAGACACTAACCTGCTCTTCAGTGTCCTGGGCAGCTGGAACTCAAAGGCAGAAGAGCCTGTTGTCTTTGGCCTTTACTCATCCTCCCATATCTCTGCCTTTCTTCTGACCTGTCATGTTTACAGTTTCCTTTCTGACCGCAAGTACTTCCTTTCTCCATTCCTTCAGAGGAGGCTGTGGCAGAAGGAAACTTCTTGGCTTTGCTCCACCTCAGAATGTCCACCTCCATTCCCACAGTCTTTGCCCTGATTGTAGGACCCTAGGTTAACTCTTCATTGAACTTAATGTTTCTAATGTCCCTCCACTTGATGTTGACCTTTCTGTTTTCCCCAGAAGTAGTAAGGTATTTCCTTTCTGCTTTCAAGAGATTTCTCTGCAATTGTAGCTTTCATGATGATATTGGTGGTTTTGCTACAGTGTTCTTCATGACGCATTTCTTGTTTGCTAAACTAGGAAGTTTCCATAATTCTTCAAAAATTTTCTCATCTATACTTTCTCTTTCCTGTTTTTGGCAGAGACTAGCTGGACACAGGCAGGGCTGTAATATCTCTGCTGCTGGCTCTTGCTGTTTACCATAGTTCTGTGCTTGCAGGGTGCACCTGCTTCTCATCCCTGCACCGCCTGTGGTTGTTCTCACATTACTCCTCTGCACGACTGTGAATAAATGAATACATGTGCACAGCATTATAGTAAGGATCATGTATATAGTCTGAAATTTCAAGGGACATTGTGGTATCTATAACGTCTAATAACCATTACTACTAATATTTGTTCCTTATTTCTGTAGATTTATTTAATGGTTATTTATTGAATAACAATTATATTCAACATAAAAGAAATAAATCCTACACTGCTTAGCTTTTGTCAACTTGATAAAACCTATGTATTACACAGGAGAAAGAAAACCACAGTTCAGGAGTTGTCTCCGGTGTGTGAGCATTTGCTCTCACTTGCTAATTACTATGGGAGGGAGCACCCACTGAGATGATGTCTTTCCTTCACTTGATGATGGAATATCACTTGCAAGATTAAATCTTTTCTTCACAGATTGATTTTGGACAGTTTTTTATCACAGCAACAGAAAACAAAGTAGGACATGTGCATATTGAAAGGAACACTTCAAAATACAATTTTGTAAATAATCATCAGATGATAAACACCCATACTTATTCACTGTCTCACACATGCACTTACCCACTCAGAAATAATTTCATATAACTGTTCATCTGTTTCCATATTTGATCATAATGAAAACAAAGTGATAGCTCCACTATTTATTAATGTTCTCTGTATTAATAGACAGTTTCTACATATCAAAAGAAAAAATGAGTATCACATATAAAAACTGTTTAAAAGATGCAAGCAAGTAACTTCAAAAAGTATAATAACAATAAAGATCATAAGAAAGGGCAGGAGTTCGACTGGCAGTGTTCACCATGCAGCAATGATAATATGTGTTCAGTCCCCAGAATCTATAAGAATGTGGTATAGTAGCCTGCCTTTATAAACTTAGGGATAGAAAGAAGAAGAGAGCCAAACTTCTGCAGTTCACCAGCTAGCCAGCCTTGTCTACTCAGTGCTCATTAAATACTCCAAATTACAAGGTGGGCAGCTCTTGTAAATGATACCAGAGGTTGATCTCTAGTGCTCTCATGTGCACGCGTGCGTGCGCGCGTGCACAGACACACATGTCTGCGCACACTCATGCACACACACAAGCACTTGCCTACAGCTTATTACATAGAACTGTAAGACTAACAGACCTTCTTATCTACCACTAATGATGGAAGGAGGATCTGTGGCTGTTTTTTTTTTTTCTCTTCCTGGGTGCTCCTTTTCTGTTGCTCAGTAAGAACTTCAGTAGAGCTGAGTCATTTGTATTCATGGATCATTTTTCTCACTAATCCTTAGCTTTTATTTTCTCTTTATTCAGCCTCTCTTGGTTCTTCAATAATCCATGTGATTTACTTCTAGTATTATACTTGATGTCTCTTTTTCTTTTATTAAATTTTACATCTCGTATTTCAATTCATTATTGTTTGTACTCCTATTACTGTCTTCAATTTTACCTTTTATTTTACCCTGTAGAGGCACCTTTAGAAAAAAAAAACAGATTGTTTTAATCTTCAAATTCTGTGCTGAATGTTCAGAGAAACTGGCTCTGGCTGCCTTAAGACACATACCCAAATTTCTTCTGGGTAATTAAATACACATAGAAGAATTGACAGACAGAGATGACACTTTTGAGAATTGTAAATATCAGAATTTGCCCATCTTCACTTGGTACACTATAAGGTAAAACTTACTGATCCACTTCTGTTGATAGACAGATACACGGACAAATAGCTGGTAAAGATGGAAAAAAAGATACCACAGTACTTAGTCTCAGATGCTGGATATGATTGGTAGAAGTACAGAATATGTATGATACACATTGCTATTTAGGAGACACTTAAGTCAAATACCTTCTTTGTTGATATTGAAAATTAGTCAATGAGTTATTTTACAGCATAAAATCTCCCACACATTGATCACAATGAAGTTAATTCTTTTTCACGTACTTATGTCTGGTATCTTTCAAAAGAAAGATGCATGCACACTTGTTGGCTCTGTCTTAAGAACCAGACAAGAAAAACGGTGCTAAGACTTAATGAAGTAAGCAAGGACTCTGAATAAAGAACAATAGAAGTACTGAGTCTGTCTTTATCTATAATCATTACATATGCTTTGACATGGTTTACAAAGATCCAAGGCTTAATGATTGATGTGATAAGGAAAAGAATGGCAGGGGACCACAGATACCTGGAAGAACTGAATTCTGTTTGATACTACTGACAAGACCCAGGATGACCTAAAGCAGAAGTGGATCAACCCAGGGCTGACTTCTAAACACACAAGTGGAAGGATCTTTTGAAAATGATCACATAGTCTTCCAGCTTTGCACAAATTTATATGTTCTGCATCCTCACTGTTGCTCTCAATATCTGCAGCTATCTCTTCTCTCTCCTACAAACTCCCTCACCCACACCCTTATGCCTGGTACACACTCTTTAACTGACAGTAAACTCCAAGTCTTATGGACACCCAAAAATCAATTTTTTTTCTATAAATGTTATATGTCAACTAGTGGAGTCCCTCCACCCAGCTAGAGCCCTTTTCTTGACTGCATTGCTTCATTTAAAATTCATCTTCCTCTTTAAAAAATGAAGAGAATTATGACTATGGTAAACAGTTATTAAAAATGAAGTCAAGTACAAAGCGTACTGAGCATCTACTCAGTGGGTATGGCTGTCTGGGACTGGTGGGTTTTTGTCCTAGATTTCACCACATGCTTTTATCCCCGAGCCTTTGAACACAGAGCTCATTCATTTCTCAGAGATGCAGTGGGTGGCTAGAAGCCAGTAACTAAACAAAATTCTTCTCACAGTGTCAGTTTCATTCTTCCACACAGAAGCCCTTGAGGAGGGTGGGGATGGGTATGATATCTTACTCATCCATAATGAGAGACTGAGTTTGGAATAGAGCATATACTGTTCATTTGGCAAACCTTAGAGTCCTCATGCTTACATTTCTCCAGATCTTCAGAGATATTTCCTCCCTCAATGTCTGCCCTATATTCTACTCTTCATATAGAGAAAGGTTTAGAGAAGGCATATTCTCCTATTCATAAACAACATTAGGTATTATACTTAACTAAGGATTCCATGGTTGCTATAGTTCACTTGTACACATACATCTCAGTCTTTCTCTGGACTTATGTCTTTTATTCTCTACCTCACTAGATGACATGATATTTCACATTAGAGACCTTTATGTCTTACACTTTTAACTTCATGAGTTGGTCTATGGTTAAATCAATGCTTATTTGGTTCATGTTGGCTATATATATGGATGAAAAATTATGAGAAGATTGATAATTCTGAAATTAGAGTTTGATGGGGGGGGCAGGGATAAAAAGAAGCATTTCCATCACACCAATGTAAGTGAGGGTACCTCCTTCAGAGTTTGGACCTAACATACCCAGACACCAAATTTTCAACACAAAGGAAATTTATTAGCACAGAGGGGAAAGTGTATATTTGTGTGTTGTGTGTGTGGGGGTGGTCATTGCAAAGTAGCAGCAGCAACAGCAAGTAGGCAAGAAGTAAGAAAGAATAGATGTTTATGCTGGAGTGGATGTAGAAGGGAAAAGGAGGGGATCTGTACTAGGGTGACTTGGTAAATCCTGATTGGACATTATCCAAATAATAATTTTGAGTGTTGGACCTCAGTGTTTCGTTTCAGGAATGAGTCAGTGGACAAGTAAAGAATGGACCTTTGGGATTAGCATAACAAATATCCTTAGCAATGAGGAAGAAAAGTGGTAAAAGGGCAAAACATTTCTGCAATGTTTGTCATGCTTAGTCCTACTAGAGGTCTTTAAGCAAGGCACCTCTTATATTCACAAATACAGAGAATTAATTACCTTAGTGTTGGTCCCCTTAGTCAGGTACATCTCATTTATCATACATGTCCATACCATGTCTAATACATGTTGATGAGTAGGAGATATTATTTTCTGATTAAACAATCAGTTTAGTCTACCAGGAAATCCATTTAAGCTGCACTAACATCAAGTCTATGGAGACCTTCCTCAGCCTCCTCAATCACATCAGGTCAAATATGGAACATGGTCTCTTTTCATTAGTCGTCTGGATGCTTCAGTTAAGAGATTTTTGCTTCTTTTAAAAAATGATGTTTCCCCAGGCTGGCCTTGAACTTGTGATCCTCCTGCCTCTGCCTCCTTCAGCATATCCTACCAGTGTGTGCCACCACAACCAGCTTGGGATGGGATAGGGGGTTAATGGGGATAGGGGGAATGGGGAAAGGGGATAACATCTGAAAAGTAAATAAATAAAATATCAAAAAAATAGGGGCATCTACAAAGTTATGGTGAGCCTTAGTCTAAAGAATGCATTGTAGGAGACTTAGCTTAGCACAACCACATAGTAAGTAGAGAATAGTGTGTGTTATTCTTTGGTAAATGAAAGTACTGTTACTAGTGATTTTGTGTTAGAACAGAAAAGATGAATAAAATGTTTTCTCTAAATAATGTATACCTAGGCACAATTTAGTGAATATAATTTTTGTTGACAGCTATAACTGAAATCCATTTAGTAAAGGGAATTTTAGTAAGTGAAAGAAATATAATAAGATTTTGGGGACTGGTTTTTAAATGTGTTACATTACACTGTCAAGTTCTGCCCATTATCTCTGAGGCAATACAGTTTTCATGTTACTATAAATCAGTTTTTTATGAATGTTCAGTGTTTAAAGAATAAAAATTTAACATACTCGATATTAAAAGAAATGATGTTCTCGTGCTTCCTTCAAGGGACACAAAGCAGGTGCACAGGCAATTCATACAGTTATATTAACAAATTTATGTAGAGTAAATTCTATTCCTGAATTACAGCTGAGTTTAATGCAGTGAAGGGGAAAGCATTTTCAAAAACTTGCAGAAATCAAGGTGCACCCCCTCACATACACATCACTCATGGACACCTCTCAACATGAATCCAATTAGCTTCACACATGCCTGACATCCCGGATACACAGACACACACAAACTTACCTGTAACTATTGATGTATTTTTCAGTTTGTGGAGAAATATGGGAATATTTTTAGCCTGAATCTTGGTGACATAACTTCAGTGGTCATAACTGGACTGCCCTTAATCAAAGAAACCTTTACTCACATGGAACAAAACATTTTGAACCGGCCTCTCAGTGTTATGCAAGAACGTATCACCAATAAAAATGGTAAGTCTATATACATTTGTTGAGGAACATGAAATGTGTGTAATAATGTTTGTGATGCATTATAGGTGCCTGTTCCAACAATCTCATAAACCACCTTGTCTTGAATTGCCATCTTTACAGGAAGTATGAGGTTACATTTAGTGAATGAAAGCATCCACTAAAGGACTTAGCAGTGTATCCCTAATATACATTAAAAGAAATCACATGTTTTACAGAAACTAACTCTAAGTGTGTTAGTAATAAGTAACCACACATCCTACCACAGACACACTGCTCTCTTATTCACCTGCTCCATGCCATCCCTCTGACCTAGAAAATTGGGAGTGAGTCACCTCTCTCCTACTGATGTCCATCTTGTTTAAAGCTTCTTACACTTCAGTGTTAAAGCCTGGCCACACAGGGACCTCTAGTCTTCCCGAGAGTGTTAGATTAAAATAATATAAGTACTCAGTATTATCATTAAATCAATTTGGAAATTCAAGTTTGGAAATTAAATCAAGTTCCAAAATTGGAAGCAGAACTTCAGTCTATTAACCTACCATAGTTTTAAACATTTAATAATTATTCCCTGAGACAATCAACCACTAATTGTATATTATTGATTATATTATCTGCTATGAGAAGCCTAGTGCTTAGCATAAATGATTAATAGTGAATATAGTAGATGAAAATCTGCATTTTTATATAACATGCATTCCATAAAATGAAAAACCCTGGCGTAATTAGCTAATTAAATCGTATATGTCTACAATGTTAAGGGGAGCTGTCATCCATTAGTTTCTAAG